CTGAGCCTTAAATCTTAACTTTGAACCCTTAGACTGTCACAGAAGTTTTGAGTCCGAGTGTCCCAGAGCTGACACCTTTGAAGTTGCTGTGCTTTTGAGTCGCCAAATCTCAGGGCTGAAGAGAGTCCGTATCACACCAGTGAAGGCTGAGACCTGAATCACCTCCATCCCAGCCCAGCCTCCGCAGCCCTGGCCATGGGGATGCCGGGAGAGCCCTCGCTCTGCACAGTTCCTGGGACTGAAAAGTCCCTCCTGATGGAGGGGGCTGCTTTCTGCCCCACCCCTTGAACACAGGGCTCTCTCCAAGACAGACAAGAGGTAGACCCAGCTATTCCCAAAACCAGTACTCCTCTCCCTCCTGGGCCAGCCCCACTGTTGTCTCCAACCCCAGGCCATGACCCACATGCCCTGAGGGTGGAGGCAAGAGGGGTGGTGAAAACCAAGGAGACAGTGGCCCCAAGGACTCTGTTTGCCCAACAGGCCAGAAATGTGGAAAACAGGGTGGGTTCCCAGGCGGCTGGCTCACTCAGTGGTCAGGGGTCAGGGTGCCTGAGGTCAAGGCAGCCCCCATGGTGTGTGTGGCTAACACCCCGGGCTCCCAGGGCTGGAAGGGGTTACTCGTCCGGCCCCTCCTTTTTAGGTGGAGGTGCTGAGACTCAGAGAGAGAAGACTGCCCAGGGTCACACACACGGCAGACAGGACTCGACCACCCCCATCTGGGGGCCTCTCCGTGACACTTGGGCAGCAGCCCAGCCAGTCTAGCCACAGCCCATCAGAGACACAGCTGGGTCAGACTCCCAGGCCAAGTCATCTGAGCCATGCCCCTGCCTCCAGCCCAGAGCAGTATTGCCCATCCAGACCCCCTAAGGCTCAAAGAGGCAAAGTGACTTACTCATGGTCACACAGCACGCAAGTGACAGAGCCAGAATCAACTCTTCTCATCTCACCCAGGAAAGGCCCCTGAGACATTGTAACATTGTCCCCTTGGTCCTCCTGCCAGCCTTTTTCTTCCTAAAGGCCCAAAACTTCTGTGGTCACCCCCTTCTCAGGCCTGGCACTCCTCTGTCCACATGCCACAAGCCCCCGAGGTTTCCCCAGTGCTTTGTATTAAAACTAGCCATGTAGGCCGGGCACGGTGGCTCACGCCTGTAATCCCAGCACTTCAGGAGGCCGAGGCGGGCGGATCATGAGTCAGGAGTTTGAGACCAGCCTGGCTGATATGGTGAAACCCCATCTCTACTAAAAATACAAAAATTAGTAGGGCATGGTGGTGGGCACCTGTAGTCCCAGCTACTCGGGAGGCTGAGGCAGGAGAATTGCTTGAACCTGGGAGGCGGAGGTTGCAGTGAGCCGAGATCACGCCACTGCACTCCAGCCTGGGTAACAGAGCGAGACTCCATCTAAAAAAAAAAAAAAATAGCCACATGAGTGGTCCCTGCTTCCTCCCCAGGCACTCTCTGGGACAGACCAGCTCTGCCTCTTTGTCCTCGGTGTCCCAGGGCAGACATCAGTGAGTGCTGGGTGAACTAATTACCGAGCAGACCCTCTCACCATGCCTGAGACCCTGTGAGCCGTCCCCCAGAAGGAACAGGGAGGCTCTTAGTCCCCACCCAGCAAAGAACACCCAGTTCTGCCTCCCACTCCAGCAGAGACCCTCTGGTTTCCAAAAGTTAGGGGGGATCCAGGGCCCACCATCACCTCAGCCCCCTACAGAAGGGGATCCCAGCAGTCCTGCAGCCAGTCTCAACATCCCAGCCTGCATCTGGCATCCCTGGAATCCAGGGCAGGACTCATGCCTGCACCTGACCCACCAGCTCCCCGCGCCCTGCCCTATGTGGCCATAAGCATCAGAACCTCGTTTCTGGGCATTGTTTGGTGGGCCCCTCAAACCACAAGGCCACCATGGCTTGGGTCCCTGGCCCCCAGCTTAACCTTGCAATCCAGTGCCACACAGTCCTTCCAGAGCATAGACCTCTCCAGCCCCCGCTTCAAATCCTGCCCTTGGAACACAGTCCCGTCCCTCATGCAGTCTCCAAGGCCCTGTGGGGCTCCCGCTGCACCTACAGCCTCACCTCACTCCTCTCTGCCCCTCAAGGCTCCAACACTGCCTGCAACCTCCTCCCTTCTCCAGGCTTCGCTCCTGCCATGCCCTCCTCCTGCCTCCCACCGCCCTCTCTACCCAACCAATGCCCTTTCTTATTGAGGAGTCAGCTCTGGCATTGCCCATGTATACCCAGCAAACACTGCCAGAGCACCCACGATGTGCCAGGTACTGTGCTGGGTGCTAGGGTCCCCACCTCGGTCATCTGACAGTACCCCAGGGGAGGCAAATGTTAGATTCAGAATTCCACAGTTAGATGTGACAGTTAAATATGAAGCAGAGAAGGAATCCCGGAGGGCTTCCCTGAGGAGGTGATGCTTAAGCTAGGATTTTAAGGATGTAGGAAAGGATTTGGCCAGGTCCAGGGGGAAGGGAAAAGCTTTTCAGACAGAGGGAAGAGCCAGTGAGAAGACCCTGAGGCTCAGAAGAGCACGGGGGGAAGCCGAGTGGTGGAAAGTGAGGCTGGGTGGGACACGCAGGCCCCGATGGGCTGGTTTAGGACTTTGCTCTGCACCTCCAGGGCCATAGCAAATCATGACAGTCTCAAGCAGGGGGAACATGAGCCCACTGGAGGCAGCAAGCGGAGGCAGGAGGCCTGGGAAGAGGCTGCTTGGAGGCACAGCAAGGAGAATGAGTCCTGCCCTGTGTGTTGGGATGGGCTGCCCCGCTGCCCACGCTCACAGTTCCTGATCACGGCTCCCATGCCCTGTATGGTCACGGCCCATCAGGTGGCTCCAGAGTCTGACTGATCTGCAGTCCCAGCCCAGCACAGGTCCAGGGCCCACACTCAAGGACTCTCTGAGCCAGCGAGCCACTGGACTGACCCCACAGCCACCAGCAACTTCCAGAACCTTCACATCAGCAGAACACCAGGTCCTCATCCGTTTGAGGTCTCCCCAGACCCACCCTCTGAGCTCACTCACCACCAAGGCCCAGTGGCCTCACCGCAGACCTCAGGTCTCCCAGCCGGAGCAAGGTGTGAGCAGCAGAGCTCAATCCTAGCCCCCTACCCTTCAGCCCCTGCAGGGCCCCGATCAGCCAAGGCTGTGGAGGATATGGGTTGCACACCATCTTGATACACCAGTTCCGGGGGCTGGTGGTCTGTCGCAGGCAGAAGAAGGCAACGGGCGCCAGGTCTGGGTGTGGGACATGAGGATCAGCTCCATCCAGGGGCTCCTCCAGGCCTGGTGGGGAGGATGGTGGGCTCTGGGGCCCGGGCTGCTCCGTGGTGACTCCCGGCTCGGCAGCCGGGGCTGCTGCAGATGAGGGCGGGGAGGCGCTCTCAGCCATGTCCACGCTGAGCTGGGAGCCCTGGGGAAGACAGAGAGGGTGGCACGTGGTGGGGACAGGCCTGGTACTTGCTCCCCAACCTGCCTCTCCACCAATAAGTGGACGGATGCGGCTCTGACAGCCCACCTGAGCCCCACAGGCCCCTCACCCTCACTCTGGGGTGAGAATTACGAAACAGCTGAGGGCCCAGCTGCACCCACGTTGGAATCCACTTTCAAGCTGGGCGATCATGGGGCAAGTCTGCTCACCCTGGCTGAGCCTCAGTTTTGGCAAATGAAGATAGTGGGGAAAATAAAGCCTTCTTAGAATATAATTGTGATATTAACTCTTTTTTTGTCTATTGGCAATTTCCTGTAATTGAAATCTTTCATTATTTAAGAGAATAAATGTTTAAGTAATTATAGAAAATCAAAAAAGAAAGGAGGGAGGGAGGGAGGGAGGGAGGGAAGGAGGGAAGGAAGGAAGGAAGGAAGGAAGGAAGGAAGGAAGGAAGGAAGGCAGGTTAACTTTTTTACAAGACTAGAGCTATGTATTTATTGTACCATCAAAGGTAAAGAAAACTTGCAAGAAAAAAGAGGTGATTGTAAAGACAGACATGATTGCCAGGACAATTCAGGTTACAAAGGCAAAGTTGGGGTGCTGCAGAATCAGAGACTGGGGGAACCCTGGCAAGCCAGGAGGGAATCACAATTGGCTTCCCTAAGGAAGTGAGCCCGGAGCTGAGACCTGCAGCTGAGTCCTTGACCCAGGGACCTCCTAGCCACTTCCTTACAAGGCTGAGAACCCAGGAATCTTAGAGTCCAACCTCCTTGCCTTACAGATGAAGAAACTGAGGTCCAGAGAAGGGACAGGACAGACATGTAGCGGAATAGAATTCCAGTCAAAGGCCAGGCACGTGGTTCACACCTGTAATCCCAGCACTTTGGAAGGCCAAGGTGGGTGGATCACCTGAGGTCAGGAGTTTGAGACCAACCTGGCCAACATAGTGAGACCCCATCTGTACTAAAAATACAAAAATTAGCTGGGCGTGCTGGCGCATGCTCTAATCCCAGCTACTCAGGAGGCCAAGGCACGAGAATCCCTTGAACCCGGGAGGTGGAGGTTGCAGTGAGCCGAGATCACACCACTGCACTCCAGCCTGGGCGACAGAGCAAGACTCCATCACAAAAAAAAAAAATAATTCCAGTCAGAGCCCACTTCCTGGGTCTGTGGCCCAGGCAGCTGCACAGGGCCCCGTGCTCAGAAGGGCCCTGAACTTGCTTTAGAATGCTGCTGTCACCAACATGAAATTCTTAATTTCTTATCAAGAGGTCCCACATTTCCATTTTGTTCTAGGTGTTGCAAATCATCTCGCTGGCTCCAACTCCGACTCAGGGCACTCCTACTCCCTGTGGCCTCATCTGATGCTCACAACCACCTCAGAGAACTGTTATGCCCGTCTGGCAGGTGAAGAAACTGAGGCCAAGAGAACAAAGTGGCTTGTCAAGGCTACGCACCCAGCCAAGTGAAGCACCAGGTGGTGTTCAGAGGCCAGAATCCCAGCACCAGACCCCCAGGCAGGCTTCACGACAACGGACGGTGCCCTCACTGGCCGAGGGCCTCCACAGGCAGTCAATGGCAAGGTGGGACAGACAGCCCCACTCCCAGGTCCTGCCCTTCACCACCTCACCCCAAAGGGCACCAATCCCTAAAACTTTGTCGCCTGAGGTCCCTGGGACCCTAGAACCCCTACAGGGCCAGTCTGGACCGTGGGATTGAAAGATAGGGCCCACATCCCTGGTGCCCACCCAGCTGCTGCAGGGCTGTCAACCAAGCCACCCGGAGCTGATGCATTTGGACATTTCTCTGGCTCCCGGGGGCAACGGGCGGGAGTTGGCACCTCTTGCCACTTCCCCTGGCTGGTCAGGGAGGCAGAGTTTTCTCCTGAGCTCAGGGCTTTGCTCTTGATTCCAGAAAAACAGCCACGGGCCTTACATAAGCTCCCAGGCACCTTGGCCTGCCACGTGTCAGCCTCCTGGGCTGAAACACACCCTCCCTAGGGTGGCCAGCTCTGCCTACCACCATGCCAGCCTCGGAGCCCACCACTCCCTCCCCTGGCCATTTGTTCTGGCCAGACTGGACCTCCTCAGGTCCTAGGCCCTGCTCCCGCTCTTCTCTCTCACTGGGGTACCTTCTTCTTCCCCCAAGGCCCTGTTCTACCAGGCCCTACTGATTCATTTGTCCAGTGAGCACCTCCTATGTGTAGGCTTTGGGCTATGCTGGGGCACGAGCCAGTCTCGGCACCAGCCCCCACTCAGCCCACACTTCCACAGAGGAGAGAGACACACCTATCGATTAATTTCTCTCTTCTTTTCCACAACTCTTATCACCATCCAACACAGTGCATAATTTATGTCTTTATATCTCCACGATTTGGCGTCTGTCTCCCCATCCTAAGAGAAGCCTGTAAGGGAGGTGTATCCCCTCACTGCTGTATCCCCAGCATCTGGAATGGCGCCTGAAGCATACTAGTGCTCAATCAATATTTGTTGACCAAGTGAATAAAAAGTGCTGGCAAGTAAATAAACAAGGGGGAAAGGTGGGAGTGGAGACAATCATCTTGCCCTCCCTAAAGGAAGAGACGTTTAAGTGAAAACCGAGAATCAGAAGGCAGCAGCCCTGACTGATCTGCTGGAAGAGCATAGGAGGAACAGCATGTGCGAAGGCCAGGAGAATGGGGCCCGCTCAGTGTATTTAAGGAACAGAAGTGAGGCCTAGCCTGGGGCAGGGAGGCGGAGGAAACAGAAGAGTTCGGCACGGCCCTAGGGGAGAACCCAGAGGAGCCTGGGTTTTATCCCAAGTTCAACAGAAGCCACAGGTGGGTTTTAGGCAGGGGAGTGGTGTGCTCTGCCCTGTTTCTAAGCCATCTCTCTAGGGGCTGAAGGGAGAGCGGATGAAGGGGCAGGGGTGGAACAGGAAGGGCCAGCAGGAACTGGGCTGGCCTGCCCTTGGCTGCTGGTGAAGACAGGGAGAAGGCGGTGGATTGAGATTTATTCTCGAGGTAAAGCACCTGGCCTTGCATCGACCACAGTGGCACACCCCGCAACCCTTGCCCCAGCATTGCTGAAGTCCTTCCTGAAACCACACAGGCGGAAAGAGCTCCCCAAGACTCCGGGACTGCACAAAACTACCCGCTTCCTGTCTCTGGGCTATGTTGCTTGTGCTGACCTGCTTGTTGCCTCTCTTGGCCTGTTTAATGCCACCACACTGTGCTACCCTCCGTTCTCACACCTCTCCCCTCACTGTGGGGCTCCCAGAAACCACACCCCTAAGGCCACCACCCTCAACTCTCTCTCCAGCGGCCACCCAGCCTCCACCCTCGGACCTGCTCCCAGTGACCACACAGCCTCCACCCTCGGACCTGCTCCCAGTGACCAC